GTTTCATTCCGCTGTAAATTTCCGCTCATGGGACGTCAACCTTCAATCTATTTTTTTTGGTTTAAAATCATATTTCTGTCCGATTTGACAATAGTCATCAACGTTGAACAATTTATGCAGGAATTCTGAACACGGTTCTGATCAATTTTTTAAATATTTAACTTACGTAAATTTCTGCCTTCATCATTGACAATCAGTTGCGATCATCCGTCCATAAATTCATAATGCTAAAAATACGTTCTACGGTACAATCATTTGTACAATTCCTTTCAAATTTAGCCGGATTTGTCCTTAATCAATAGTCACTCATAGAAAAGATTTCTATTATTCAATGCTATTACTCTTTGAACTAGAATAAAATAAAATCTATATAGAGCCAATCATATTTATTCTTCAGAAAAGAATATTTTCTTCTTAAATGAAAAATTCTAAAATCTAGAATAAAATATTTTTAATGCTATTCCATTCATTTTCTTAACAGAAAAATTTAGACTATATTTTTCGGCAACAGAAAACTTGTAGCTAGGATTCGAACTCAGGATCTCTCATCTAAGCGCGCTACATCACGAGAGCTTCACTGTCATATGATGCTATAGCATCACGTATATAACACTAGATAGACTTATTCTAAACATAAAAACATATAAACCTAACTTTATATGTGTTATATACTAGTCTCAAGACAAGATGTCGATCTTATTTTATTCGAGGGAGTAGAATAAAAATTGATTGAATTTTAGTAGAGTTATAATTTTATACTATATATAGTTGAACTAAGATTAAGTATGTCAAGAATATTTTTCTTCTCGATTAGAAATCCTTTTTGAGAGTGTAGTGGTAATCGGCCGGAGAGTAAAAATAACGGCCAGGCCAGTTCATTACCGGTCAATTGGCAAGATATGACATTCATGCTAATGTAAAAAAATTGCGAATTGCTAAGATATACAATTTTGTTAGATTTACTAGATAAGACTACTTTTAGATCATTATTACTAGAGGTAAGGCTTCGATATACATTGGTTTCCTCGAACGCAATCTTAGTGAAATAATGTCATATCCGT